CAATCAAGAGGCCCATATATTTGAATTAGGCATGCTATCGGAGCCATTTAGAGTTGGAAGAGGGGTTAGACAAGGGGACCTCCTCTCACCATTACTATATATACTAGCCTTTGAGCTCTTATTTCAGGCTATTGATAGAAACATTCAAGGTATACCCTCTTATGACCAGACATTCAAATCTATAGCATATGCAGATAATCTTACAATAGGAGTTGGGAGTTCATCAGATTGGCTGGAGATATACAGACTGTTTGACCTATACGAAAGAGCCTCTTCCGCAAAAATTAATAACCAAAAAACAAAAATTGTTTCACTAACAATTATGGCAAGGAAAGCAAACCTCCCGGACATAATTGATTTCAAAGTCATAGAAGAACCTGATACATTCAAGTTACTAGGCTATGAAATCGATGCAAAAAGGCAACCAAAAAAGGACTTATGGGCATCTACTATCACCAAACTTAAAGACACACTTTCCAAACTTGCGGCAAGAAATCTGTCCTTCAAAGGAAGGATCCTAATCATGAAATCACTAATACTTTTTCGCATCTGGTATACAGCCTACATTCTCCTCCAAAGAAAAAACAAATATCAGAAATAAACCATCTAATAGCTCTATGGATCAAGGGTAACTCCAGGTGGCTCTCAAGATATTCGACCTACCAGCTTCTTTACGAAAAAGGAGGTCTATAGGCTCCAATAGTAGAGAATATGTTGGAGGCCAGAATGATCACAATCTGGATAAAGCTTATATCAGGAGATACTACGCGGCCAAGATAGAAAGGTCAAGGATCACACAATCTTTACAGAACAAGAGAGATATTACAAGTTTGCAAGCCTTTACAGAAAATCCTGTGAGAACTAAAGACTGGCCCTCGGAATGGAAGCTCTTCATACTTGCATGGAACAAAGTGGAGAGTGCAGTCTTCTCTCTTATACCGTGGCCTTGGCCTACAGAGAATATATATTTAAAAGGAAAGAGAAGCAGTGATCTCCAGACCAAAGACTTAGTAAACCTCTTGAGAACTTCGACGGGGATAATCTCTCCAACTTATATACTTAAGGAAGACATGCCAACAGACTGGATTACCTGTAGAGGCATTGATAATAAAAAGAGAGATATTTTATAGAGATTAGCCCACAGGGCTCTGCCCTTAGGTTATAGACTTCAATAGATATTTCCTTCGGAATCAGGGGCCTGCCCATGGTGTGAAGATAGCATTCAGACCCTGGAACACTTCACGATAGAATATAGGATCAGTAAATCGATTTGGATAGAAGTCTATAAATTCCTGAAGATACAAGATAATACAATTATACTGAATTCTATAGAAGACATCTATACAAAGAACAACATTCTCCAAAAAAAATACCACACTACAGTCTAATGGCTGAATGCAACGGCAATCTATGAAATTTGGTATTGGTATACTAATGTCAAATGGGGTGAGGTGGTCAGACTGATAATCTCGATTCCAGCTATAATAAATAGTAGAGTTGCAAGGGAAGTCAAGGCTCTGCGCCTTAATTTCACAGATAACTGAATAAATAGAAAAATTTGTAAATATTTAATCTGTAATTAGAAAGTTATTTATTAATCAAGTATAATAAAAAAGATGCCACCAGCGTTCTGGCTGACTTAGTCTGAAAAATTAAAAAAAAAAAAATACACCATAATTCTCGTAGTATTTAGTTATTATGCAGTAGATTATAGTTCCATAATAACGAATAAACTATGTAATTTATTGTGTAGAAAATATGGAATACTCGCTTGAGAAATTAAAGGACAAGTTTTTTTTAGGAATTGGTCTTTAGTTCAAAGAGTTTTTAATCAAAATCCATAAAAACTATTCTAAAAAAAAAAAAAAAAAAAAAATTACTAAGCTCAAAAAAACTAGGTTAAAACGAAAGAAAGAGAAAGATAATTTACAAAAAAAATTTAAAAAAAAAATTAAAAAAAAAAAGCCTCTTTCCTATTTTTCTTCTGCATCGATTTTTCTTCATGTGTAATTTACCTTCGCTTCAAATTTTTCTTTGCTATCGATTTTTCTTTGCCATCAATTTTTCTTCAGCATTTTCAATTTGCCATCCTGAAAAGAAAATAAATAAACATAAGAGCAGTAAAATTTGAGCATCTTATATTTTCTGAAGCAAAAATATAAATTATGTTATGTGATATCATGCGTATGTTACTATACATAAAATGCACATTTTTCCTATGTTATCCCTTTATTTATATTTATTACAATACCCAATACTTTTAAAGCTACTATTTTCTTATACACATATTATATTAAGAACATTAACAAGCTACAAGTTATTTTTATTAAGGTATGTAAAAATTTAGAATAAATTGAAAATAGCAATTGAAGAACATAATATACAGTATTTAAAGTAAATTCATACAAGATAATAATAATAAACTTTTTAGCAAACATTATATACATATAATCTAAAAGATAATATGCTTTAACTTATATATATAAATAGTATACGCATAAAACTTTATTGTTAAAGTAAGAAAATAACAGTAAAAATAAAATTTACTTATAAGATAATAATGTAAAACATATTATATATAATTCCAATTTCATTTTGCATTTGTAAAAATTTGATCATTGCCTAAAAATGAAGGTGGCTCTAAATCAGGGATACATAAAGATTCTAGAGGCCATTTTGCATTTTCATCATCAGCAGGATGTATAGTATATCCTGCCAAACTAAAATTGTGGTCCCATTCTGAAGAAGAAAAAATATAATCATCTTCATCTTCAAATTGGTTTTCTCTATTTTCCAATTCAATCCAATTATTAACGAACTGATACCATCATTGTTCTTCTTCTTCCTCTTTACTTTCTATTACAGCCTTTTTTTTAAACATAATATTAGCATTATAATTATTATATTGATTTAATTTATAGAAATAATAAAAACTCATACCATCATCTTCATAAATTATTTCAACACCTTCTTTATTACTTGGTTTATTATCCTCATTCTCATCACTACTTATATTATGATCATCCTTATTCTTTAATTTTACACTTTCACGAAATTATAGGCTTAGCGATATATAATTGACGAACTTCTTTTTCATATTTATGAGCTTCTCTAACTTTACGGCTATATAATATATCACTTCTAAGTTGACTCATTGTTAATACCTTTTTTGGCTTTTTATATATTTAATAAAAATTAAAATTAGTTAGTACAAAAAATTAATTTAACAAAATAATTTAAATTAACCTGTAATTGACTCCGACATGTTGTATGTAAAAACCCCATATTTGACCAAAGCTATTCTACAGAAGCAGAATTGACACATATTCCATAAATTCAAATTGCTACATGTGATAATTCAGGACCAATACCACTTGTTGATTCCCAAAAATCAAACAAATTTCCCTTAAACTGATAAAAAAAATCTATATTATATGGGTCTTCATCACACTTATATTTAATTAACTCTGATAAAATAGAAAATGAACCTAATTCAAACCAAGCCTCATAGTAATATTTTAGCCACTGACCAATATGTATCCGAGTAAGATTTTGTACACTTAATTGGAACTTTGATAGCTTATATTCCGGGTGTAATGCAAAAGAAGCGGTTGCTCCTATTCATTCCACTGACTTTCTATTCTATTTAATATTTTTGACCCAAATTCAAAGTTATGATGTTGGTTAAAAATTTTTGTAGTATATGCAAAACAGTGAAGTACTTCATATAAACGAGCTGTATTCTTTTGTAGTTTGTTAAGAAATCCACATAATGGATATAGTATATTTTGTAATTCAAATAAAGTAGACCAAAATTCTGAATCATTAATTATATCAGCAATATCATCAGGAAGTTTTTGCTCTTTATTTCGAGATAATGAACTTTTATTAGCTATAGAACTTGGTATTCCATTTGAATGTATAATATTAATTCTTTCAGAATTAAATTTAGCAGCAAAACACTAATTAAAATAAAACAACAAATATGATTTATTTATTTAATATTGATTATTTAAATAATAAGTTAATATACATACTTTGAGTGCAGCCTGAGATTTTAAAATAGAATGAAAACAAAAATAATATGAATTCCATCTAGTATCTCCTGGACTTATAAGTGAACTAACTGTTTGTGATATTCGTATTTGTTCATCTCGTAAAGCACTTGTAAAATATGCAGATTTATGAAAATAGCTAACAATTCTAACTGCTTCTTTAGATATTTGTTTATATAATAGTGATTTCTTAAAAATATTAGCAACAACTGGATTTATCTGATGAGCCATACAGGGTAAAAACCTATAAATTATTTTTAATATAAATATTAATTAAAATTAAATTAAATTAAAAATTTTAAAACTTATATATACCATGCTGCTGCATATTCTCTTGCTGAGTCTGAGATAGGTGCTTTAATTGAAATATTTTCTTTATTTGCTTTATTTATTAAATTTTTGATATGTTTAATTACATTTTTAGTATTTGATCGTTCAGTACTTATATTATATGCACCCCACACTAGTGGTTGGCCAGAAGATATAACAAATACAACACCCCAAATATGTTCTTGCTTTATATTTGTCCATCCATCAAATACAGCTGTTATACCATCTGTATCTAATTGTGCTACTTTTATAATATTCTGATTTAAAATATTAGCACTTTTTTTTAAAATAGATCCACTTAATCTTTTTCGAGTAGGTAGCTCTAATTCAGGTAAAACAAATTGAAATACTGCAATCATATCTTTGTTTTCAACAAAATTAAAAGATAATCCATTTGATACAACTATTCTTAGTATAAGTTGTTTAAATTGAGGTTTATCATTATATGTAATTGGTTGATGAAGATAGTTTGTTATAGCTTGCTGATTGTTATAAAGTTTAATATAACTTGAACTGCTAATATTATCATCCGTATCCGAAGAATTATCTAATTATTATTTATATTTAATATTAGCGAATTTTTTTTATTTTATATATTTTTAAATTAAATAATTTACCTTTATTTTTTATTTTTTTTTTGTTTTTGTTATCTTTAGGAACAGGTAAACTTAAAATACGTTGTACTTCTTCAGGAGATACAAATTCTTTAAAATTTGTACACTTTGATAAATAATTTCGGCATAAATTTGCTTTGTTTGAAGTAACACATTCTGGTTTAATTCGAGTTGCTTCTAAAGTGCCATATTTTTTTATACACCAGCTACAAACTGCAAGAGCATTTGTAGCATTATTAGGGTTTTGAATTAACACAAAATATTGTTAAAATGCGTGAGGTTTTTTATTTTTCATAATTCATAGCAATAAAGTTTAAAATTTGTAACAATCATTCTTTTTATAATTAAAAAAATTTAATCTTATCACATTTTTTATCATTAAAAAAAACTATATAAGGTATTTCATTTAATTTTTTGTTATTTTCTTACACATTTTATTCAATTACTTTATCTTTTTGAAAGACTTTACAAAAAGTAGCAAAACGATTATTACAAATTTATTAATACATATATAATTATTTATTCTATTAACTATTTATAATAATTTGTTATTGTTATCATATTATTGTTAGTCCCAATTCCAAATGCTATTTAATATCACTATGCAAGTATAATATTAATAAACTGGTAATAAGCAAGTATGAGCTAATATATATATAACTTGTAGTGCGAGAAGATAAGAATATTTATAACTGATATTGAGAGTATGTATTATTTTTTTTTAATCTTTTGTACAAATAGCTTGATAGCTAAACATGTTTAAATTAGCTTTTGATATAATATGTTATGTAAATTAAAAATTTTAGTTTATTAAAAAAATAAATTAATAAAAGTAATTGAATTACTCTTCTAAATTCTTTGTTTTATTCTTCCACTTTATTTATTAATCAACTTGCATTCCCACTCTATATCTGATTTAGATATATTCCCACCACACAAAATAATATATTTAACTATTATTAAATTTACTGTAATGCTAATACATATATGTATAATGTTAATTTTTGGCTATGCTAATCAAATATTTCCAGATTAGAGTGATGTGTCAAAATAAGTTAGCAGGAAGGATGAGTAAATTATAAAAAAAAAACTTGTTATAAAATGTGTATAGTTAGCGATTTATAGAAAGTTTATTATCTTGATAGATTTTCCATAAACAACTAACTGCATGTTTGATAATGAGTTTACTTTTGATGGTAATTTAGTGTCAAAAAGTTAAGTAATTGCCTCAACAACTACTATCTACCTCAGATAGCTTTTACTATATTCTGGTCTCACTTGGCACTAGAGACACTTTTTATCTTTTATTTAAACAATGCTCACTATACAATTTCAGACACAAATGTATACTTTAAGTTATTCATTTATTACTCGATTTTTACCAATCAAAAAACTGTCAAATTCTTTATTTACATTTTTACTATTTATGCAATTAAACAATTACATATTTTGTATTACATTTTAACTATTTCTTTGTTATTAATTAATTAGACTTTTCATTGTTTTCCAGCTAATCATCATATTCATGCATTCAACGATCAAGGTATCTATCATACCCGATCTTACATGTGCTGCCCCGCATCTCAATTCCTACTCTCAACTCCGATTGATCACATGATCACGTGAGTTGTCTAATTTATACTTTCATTAACTTCAACTAAACCCTAGCTTTATTAGAAGAATACAAAAATAGAAATTATTCCAAATGAGAAAAAGTTAATTGACCAAAAACAATCCAGGCTAATTGTTTGCTAGTAGTGTTAATTACCAAGATTTATACAAAATGACTAGTCACTTTGGTTATTCTAAAATTTCAAAGTTTTTAGTATTTAATTTTGATGTATGAAAAGCATTGTATTATATATATATTTATTTTATGTTGGGCTATGCCAGCATTATTTTAAGCCAGATGCACTTTTGTGAGTTCATTTGGCTAAGGATTATGGCATAATATTTTGGCTAGGTTTTTTCTTTGATTGGAATACTGTAGCATTTGGGCTAAGGTGGCACTAGATAATAGTTATAGAATATCTTCTAAAATCTCATAAGGCTTAATTTGGTCAATTACCAATAGTTGCCCAATTTCTTTATAGTAGGTACTGATTCAATGTTTTCTCCATTCACTTGTATATGGTTGAGTCTAACATGCTTCCTCAAATTATATTCTTCTTGAGGCTTTATTATGAGTTCTATGGTCAACATCATATAGCTTTTGGTAGTGCTCCTCTTGATATAAATGTTTATTGTTATTAACTCAAGCCATATTTACTCTTCTATTTTCTGGGTTATTAAACCTAATTCGTTTACTTCTAGCATGTCTAATGACATTTGTTATATTTTCTTTGCCAACAAATCTATATCTTCTTTTATCTTTTTATCTGGGGTTTTATCCTTATCTACTTTGCTTCTCATATAGAATTTTCCGGCTCCTACTTGCTCAGCGACTTTAATAGCTTCTTCTAGAGTCTGTGGGTCTTTCATAGCAGTATACATGGCAACTTTTTGTCTTAAGCCTGATAGAAACAGACAGACAACATAGTCGTCTAATAGCTTATTCCCGGAATCGACCTTTTTTTTCAACCACTTGAACTTAGCTACATATTCAGAAACACATTTCATTTGACCTTTCAATATTATGTAACTTATTATGCCACTTATTTTTTCTATCTAGGGTTCCGAAACGCCTGTTAAACAAGGCTACAAAAGAGGTATCTTTGGTATCATCCCAGCTAGTAATCTTACTTTTAATGTCATTATACCAAAATGATGCGTTTCCAAACAGGTAACTGGAAGTGATTTCAATTTTTTAATTATCCTTCCAATTACAGTTAGACCCTCTAAATTCACCCTCCCTAAATGCAACACCTCTCTAAATGCATATCTTTTTTTGGGCCCAACTAATATTACATCTATAGATTTTTACCTCCCTAAATGCAATATCTCTCTAAATGCACATGCTAGAGCTGGTCCCAACAACGTGCATTTAGAGAGATCTGACTGTATTAGCTAATACTGCTTTTTCAAACATAGCTACCCATTTGATAGAGTCTTTCTTTATACCACTGGGTGTTACTCACTTAAATTTATCAGCTACTTCCTTAAAACCATTGGCAACTTGCTTAAGGATTTAGCGAAGTTGGGTGGAGTTCATAATCG